CATGTGGTGCTGGGGGATTGAACTGCGGTCTCTGTGCTTTGCTTAGCTTAGCTTGTTCTAAGTAGGTGCTTTAGACCACTGAGCCATCTCACCAGCACCCCCTCTTTCTTTTGAGATAAGGTCTTGCTCTATACCCCAGGCTGGCCTTAAACTCCAGGCAATCCTTTTGCCTCAGCCTCCCAAATGCTGGGATTACAGGAATGCATCTTCATACCCAACGCCCACCATATTTAAAACTGCAAACCCTTCTACTACCAAGCTCCTTTTCCATCTTTACTTCTGTCCATAGCATTACCATCTCCTGACACAGCAGTCTTTTTAGCTCTCTTTTGGCTTGCATTTTGTGTGTACCAGGAATCGAACTCAGGACCTTGAGCTGGCCAGGCAGATGCTGTGTCACTGAGCTATATCCCTGGCCCTGGCTTATTGCACTCTGCACTGTACACTGCGTGAAATCAGGAGTTTTGTCAGTTTTAGGCATCACTCCACCCTGAGTACCTCAACAGTGCCTGGACCACAGTCCATGGAATATTAAATGATCAGCACACAGTCGCTTCAAAGAAACTGAAATGTTGCTGCTACCACAATCACTGAGTGCATACTCTGCCAAGCAGCCTGCCAAGTACTAAAGCCCTTCACTCTACAAATCCTCAGGCCCGTTTCTCAGGCCCTGCTTGGGCTCTGGAACTATTACCCTGTCTCACTGCCCAAGGAGGGAAGGTGGGCTCTGGCGCAACAGACAAAATAGGGCACTTCCGCCACTAAGGCAGATTCCTGCAGATGGCCAGCTCTGGACGCTCAGACATTTGCTGACAGTGAGAAAAAACCAAGGACCTTGTTGCTGGCCTAGTATGACAAGTAGGCCTAGAAACCAACGACACAGAACAGGAGGAGCCTACTGCTTCCTGCACCCTCATCATGGCAGTGAGAACATCAGTTCAGCAGTAACCCCACTCCACCTGACCCCACACCTGCCATGAACCAGGAGACATTTTCAGCCAGAGAAAAGCAGGGGCTCCAAGTTCAGTGCACAGCTCCAGGCTGCACAGCTGGCCTCTCGTCATCCCAGGTGTACTGGCTCCAAAGCTAATGCCCTCAGCTGCCCTCAGGCCTGCTGTGAAAATCCCGAACATCCTGAGCAAAGGTGAGAGCAGACCCCAGACCCCAGACCGCAGACCAGAGCTGGGCTGCAGGAAGGACGTCTGGCCCACACAGTTCTTCCCCCAGTGCTGATACAGAAGCAGGGCCTGGACAATGCCAGGCAAACACTGTATCACCAAGCATACTTGGCCCCCAGTCCCACGCAACACTAAAGGTGACTTAGCTGCCAACTGGTAAAAATCAGGAGTTTCATGATTTCTGGCTGCTCTGGCAACAATGGAGTGACAGCACGGCTAATCTCTACTGCCATCTGGCTACTTCTGAACTGTGGTGTCCTCCTTGTCCACCTGACCTCCTTATAGTGTGAATCACTGGGGTACCTGTTAGGACACCAGAAGGAAGGCCCCTCCTTTGGGAAGAAAGGTCTAATCATCTCCGATCTTTAAGATGAAAGTAGGAAGACTAACATTTTCAACCAGGAGCAATGGTGCGTATGTGTAATCCAGAAAGATCATAAGTTCAAGGCCACCTTGGGTCACTTAGTGAGACCATATCTAAGAATTAAATTTAGAAAGCCAAGGGGCCGGGGAGATGGCTCAGTGGAATAAGTGCTTCCCTGGCAAGCACAAGGGCCTGAGTTCAATCCCTGGTTCCGCAAAAAATAAATAAATAAATAAATAAATAAATTTAGAAAGTCAATGTTGTGGTGCATACCTATAATCCTTGTACTCTGGGAGGCTGAGGCAGGAGCAACACATATTTAAACCCAGGCCGGGTGACTTAGCAATGGAGTAAAATTCTGTCATAATTTTCTTTTTAAGGGGGCTGGGATAAAGAAGGGGGCCTGGAGATGAAGCTCAGTGCAAAAGCCCTGGGTTCAATCCTTAGTACCATGAAAAAAGGAAACATAACATTTTCTGAGTCCCCGCTCTACTTCGTGGATATTGTCGCTGTCACATCCACTGTCACACTGCAGCCTAGTATATGGGAGGCTCTAGGCCTCAGGTTAAAGGGCCCATGCAGAGGCTGTGGGACTTGTCCTGTGCAACCCCTGTCCCCACCCTCCCGCCCCCAGTCTGCTCAGCCTCTGCCCAGCCCGCACCTGACCCTACCCACATAAGCACTGCCTCCCTCACCTTCACAGCCACCTTTCAGACAGATGTTGTCAATGTCCCTATCCTGGGGATGAGGGCACCACGGCTCAGAAGCTGAAGGAAGGACCCGCCTAGGAGACAGCTAAGTAGCAGTCTGGATCTGAACTAAGGTCTTTTAGAGTCCAGAGCCTGCATAATTCAAGAACTAGCAATAACAGGTGTCCCCCAACATCCTTACTGCCAGAGGCAGGCCCGGCAGGGACCTGAGGCCAGGCTCGCACCTTGATCTTCTGTTGGTAGATGTTGTCGTCCTCAGCATACTCCTTGTACAGGACTGAGAGCTCCAGCCGCTCTGACACCAGAGGGTTCTGCACAGCAATCTGCAGGAGACATGAACCCCTTATGTTCTGGCAAAAAATGGAGTCACCTATGCCAATAGCCAGATGCCTACAAAAGGGGTACTGAGCCCGTCACCCCACAACACAGTCACCTCCCAGCCTCTCAGTACACTATCAGTGCACTATCTAGGGAGGAGCAGCTTCCAAAGGTAGAGACACACAGTAGGCTTCAGGCCTGGCTGGGGCTTCCCGTAGATGCAGATGCTGGCTACAGCTCCCCAACCCTCTTAAGCTCTCACCTCTTGCTGAATTCGGTCCTGCTGAGCCATGATAGCTTCATCGTAAGCCAGACAGTTAACACCTAGAAAAATGAAAAAGCTGAGGGTTACTGTAGGGTCTGGCCATGTCCACTGCAAGCAGCTGGGCCAGTGACAAACAGTTCAGGAGGAGAAGAGCAGATACAGAGTCTGGAAGCATGTCTCACACCCTGCCCCACCCACTGTGCAATCTGGGTAGTCTAAGCTTCTATTTCCTCACCATTAAAATGAGAGGGTAGGGAAGTGCAGTGACACACTACAGTTCCAGCAGAAGGATCACTGGAGCCCAGGAGTTTGAGATCACCCCTAGGCAATATTGTGAGACCCTGTTGAAAAAGAGAAAAAGAGAGAGACAGAGAGAGAGGGAGAGAGACAGAGACAGAGAGAAAGGGAAAAGGGTTGGAGGTGTAGCTCAGTGACACAGTATGCATTTGCCTAACATGTTGCACAGGACCTGGGTTCGAATCCCAGCACTGAAAAAGGGAGTGGGAGTAAAAGGTGATTACGCCCCAATAAAGTGTGGTTTTCCCAGATCTGACACACCCTTCCTCTTTGCTTTCTAACATCACTTCCTGACAGTCAGGGATGCTTTAGGGTGGGGCAGGGTCATCTCTTGGGGAAAGTAAGATGAGGAGATGGATTCCTGGGCTAGATGAGAACATCCTGTATGCTGCACTTCAGAGATTTCACCCTTCATCTCTCAGCTGTCCAGGGTATTGTTAATGATGGCTATTTTGCAAATGACAAACAAATCCTGAGAGAAGTAACCTGCCCAAGGTCAAACTAGTAAAAAGATGTGGTCAAACCCAGATCTGCAGCTGGACATGTGGCGCACCCCCGCACTCAAGAGGCTGAGGCAGAAGCACTTAAAGACTCTATCTTAAAAAAATTTTAAAAAGTCTCCGATTTGTCTAACTGCAATCTGTGGTTTTCAACACACCACTCCTGTTACCTCACTGCAGGGCCGGTTCCTCACCTGCAAAATGAGGACACCACCACTACCTTCACCACCACACTGAACTAGGGTAGTAGTAAACTGGAATCACCAAGTTGGGCAAGTCTGTGGACCCTACCCTAGGCAAACCACTGGGGCGGGGGTAAGAGCCCTAAATTCCAGACCTCGTGAGGTTTTTTTTTTTTTTATCTGCCTTGAGACAGGAATTTGCTATGATGCCCAGACTAGCCAAGAACTCACGGGGCTTCTGCTTCAGCCTTCTCTGAGCTGGGAGTACAGGTGTGTGCCACTACACTGGGCCTCTTTCATGGATGCATCTGTCTATATGATCTAGCTAAGAATACATGTGATCCCAAACAAGTCCCTGAGATACCTGGGTTTCCCTCCTTAGGGTGGGGTGTGTGCTGAATGACTTTTAAGGTCAATCTCCTTGGGCCTACCACCCCAGAGTTTCCTTTACGCCTTGACTCCATGCCCTACAACAGTACTGTCTCGCCCACTCAGGTGACCTACTCAGTCCCCAGAGACCAACTCGAGCAGAAAAAGAAAGCAAGAGGCGTTTTTGAAAGATTCATCTCAGGGGTTTAAAAATACTCCTAGGCAACTAGCAAGGGGTTGCAAGGCCAGGATGGGAGCTCCTGGAAAAGCAAGAAAACACTGGAAAAGGTCGCATCCCTACGGGCAGGCACGAGCAGGCACGGGCAGCGCCTGCGATTCAGGCCTGCGAGGCATCCCCTGCCGTCGGGAGGATGCAGTCTGCTGGGCCTGACCTCGGCCTCCTCCTGACAGCGAGGCGCGAGGCGGCCGGGATCTGAGCCCCGAGAGTTTGGCCGGCGCCCAGAGCTCGGGCGCCGGGAGGAGCGGCCCAGGCCCCGCCCCACGAGCGCCCGGGAAGAGCCGCGGGCCGCAGCTGCCCCGCCCGCCCGGGGGTCGCGGCGGCCGCGGCTCCTTCCATTGTGAGGGGGAGGGGAGACGGCGGAGGCGTGAAGGGGCGGTCCGCACGCCTCGCTCCTTTCCGGCTGCCCTGCCTGCCCTGCCCGCCCGACCTCCTGGGAAACAGCAGGAGGCCTCGCCCCCTCTATCCCGGGACGGACATAGCCTGTCGCTCCGTACCTTCGGAGTCGCTGCCCAGCGGCTCCTGCTTCTGCTGCTGAGGTTCCTCCGCCGCCATCTTTAAACAGCGCCGCACTGCCGACCGCTTCCGGGTTACTAATCGCCCTCCTCCCGGAAGTGAGCCTCTCCACGCAGCCCCTCCTTGGCAACGCCCCTAGCAACGGGATACCCTCGGCAGTGCTAAACTGACAGGTGCCCAGCGCTGTGGCAGTCATAGACCAGTATGCCCGAGGTTCTGCGAGAGGCAGGTTCCTAGTCTCGCGCTTCACCCTGTACAGTCGCTGGGCTCCAAATTCCTAGGTTCCCAAAGGTTCCGGTAGTGATAAAAAGCCTGTTTTCTGTTTCGCTGAAGTTTGAAATGTGGGTGGTACTATTGAGATAAGTAGAAAGATCCTACACTTCTTGCTCTCAGTTGTACCTGCAGTGCAGAACATGGGGCCAGGAGGCAGAAAATGATGCCACCATCTTGACACCCCTGAGCATTGCGACCTCAACCTTGAAGCTTACCAACCCCTACTCCCGAAGTTTGCGGTCGGACAGATAAAACATCTTAGTATTAAGACCAAAGCTTTAGACGTAACTTTGGGCTCTGTGTCCTTCTAGTAGTGTGAAAACAGAATCCTTTTAAAAAGCAGTGCTGGGGATGTAGCTCAGCGGTAGAGCACCCCTGGGTGTGATTACCCAATACCTCCAAAAAAAAAAAAAAAAAAAAAAAAAGCCATGAGTGTCAAAAATGCTGTTGTTAGCGACCCTTCTCGTGACCGTGGTCTTTCCGCATTCAAGAAGGCTGAACCTGAGCTCCATTCAGGTCCTTCCATTGGGCAGGGCAGGCACTGCAACAGGACTGAAGGCTTTGGCTGGTCTCCACCAGTACCAGAGCAGTTGCAGCTGGGCAGCTGGCTCCCCACACAGCCTGCTTTGGCTTTTTCACAGCAAGGGTACAAATGCCAAGCCTGTGGCCCAGCACCGTGACAGTCATTGGGCCTTTGGGAAATTGGCTGCTTCTAAATTCAAGAATACAAAAGGTCCACCATATGTGGATCCTATGACTACCAAACAGTTCATTCCTTCTATTTTAATGGTGAAATCAGTATCTGCTAAGGAGATCTGTAATTAGCAGGAGAGAATGGGTACTACCTAATAAAGGGCACAGGCAGGCCTTTTAAATCTTGAAAAGCACTATAAGACATCCCCACCCCAGTTCCCCTGATCTGGATTAAGGAGTACATGAGGGGTGTTGGGGTGTGGACTAAAGGTCAGAACAGGGAGCAGCTGCTATGCAGCTTAAAGGGGTCCGTGTGTGCTGTTCTGTCCACACCAACGGGGTGACTCTCACTCCCAGGGCCTGGGGTTTGTCCAACGCAAACCTTCACAGGGCCGCCTGTAAGTGTAGTGCTCTCTCCTCACTACTGCCCAGTGTCTCCCCACCCCCATTTTGTCAGGCAGAATGAGGAGGACATGGCCAGAGGGAAGCTCTGGCTCTGAACCCAGCCTCAGGATGGTCAACTTTTGCCCAGCTCTTTCCAATGCCCATTTATTTGTTAGTTAATAACTTTTTTCCCCATTCCACCTATCCTGTTATGTTTTCCATATTAGGGTTTTAATTTTCCCCAAACATCTAAAATCTACCTGCAAATTTACCAAGAGTCAGAATTGAGCAGCTCCAGGTGTCTCTGCCTCCCAATTTGCCACCCCACACAAATGCTTAGGTGCTGCTGGCCCTGGCTATAGAGGACCTAACAAAATAGGCAGCACATGCCGGGCATGGTGGTGCACAGCTGTAATCTCAGCACTCAGAAGGTTGTGAGTTCCAGATCAGACTCGGCTACCTAAGGAATTCAAGCCTTGCCTGAACTACACAGTGAGACCCTGTCTCAAATAAAAAAAGAAAAAAGGAAGAAAGAGGACAGCACAGGTGGGTGGGTTTAGGCTGTTGCTGGTAATAGTCACAAAAATGACAGGCAAAAGCCACAGAACCAGAATGTCACAGGTGCCTTCTCACACACTGCCCTCATGACTGGGAGCATACGGGAGCCTGATGTCCATACCCATAGGATTCTGTTGGGGTAGGAGAGAGGAAGAGGGCCTGTCCTGGGACCTAGGTCTATTCAGACTTAGCCACAGAGGAAGGTAACAGAACTGCTGGCTCTGGAGCCGTCCAACCACTTCTATCTGAGGTAAAGGTGCAAGCAGAGCAGATGAAGGTGACAGACACATGGTGTCAATGGTGCCATAGCTGAGACTCACAGGAAGCCATGGCCTCCAAAGTACACTCGAAGATGCAGGCCAGGGAGGCAGACAGACACCCCACAAGGCAGGAGGAGGCCATGCCTGCCTCTAGGTGACTCTGGAGCTACTGTTGTTTTACCCAACGTGGCCCACTGCCAGCCAGCCATAGAATTGGTGTCTAGGGAGGCTGTGGCTGCTGCAGAGGCAGGCTAATAGCACTGAGCAGGGCAGCCCCTGGGTTGTCACAGTCACCTGCAGGACCCAGGCCACCCGAGCCAGGAAACAAGCAGAAGAGGGACAAGGCTAACAAACGGAGACTTGCCCTATAAATCCCACACAGCTTGTTAGGGTACCCACGCTCCTCTAAATGACTTACAGTTCATTCGCTACACGTTGTTGAAGGTCCAACCAGTTGGTGCCAGCCCCACCCAAGGGCCAATGCATTTCTTTATCGCTCACATAACAAATCAGCACAGACCCAGTGGTTTAAAACATTTATTATGGGGCTGGGAGATGGCTCAGTAGAATGTTTCCCTGGCAAGCTCAAGGACCTGAGTTCAATCCCTGATTCTGAAAAAAAAAAAAAAAATTATTACCTTACAGGTGGGGCAATCAGAAGTCTGGGTTTCACTGGACTAGTCAAGGTTCAGGTAGGCTGCATTCCTCTCCAAGACTCAAGGGAGAACCTGCTTCCTACTCCCCTTGTTGGCAGAATTCATTTGTGTCTACTTCTACAACTATGGTCCCACAGTCTTGCTGGCTGTAAAGGGAGGGGACATTTCCAGCTTCTAGAAGCCCCTATATCCATCAGCTCATGGCCTACTTCTTCCATCCTCAAAGATAGTAAGGACAAGCCAGGTCCCTGACAGGTGGGCACTGGTGATCACCCTGGGCCCCTTCAGATAATCCAGGATAATCTCCTGTGTCAAGGTCCTCAGCCTTAATCACATCTGCAAGATCGCCTTTGCCAAGTAAGATAACCTCTTCACAAATGCCAGAGATCACAGCTGCGATATATTCTGCCTGCCACATTATCTTCATTTTATAATCCCAAAAACTGAGGCTCAAAGAGCCGAGAGGGCCACCCGAGGTCATAGCTTACATGGCTGGGCAGCCTCACTGGTGCTGATGTTACAGGGTGCCATCCCAGCAGTCTCCCAGCTCAGCAGGCACATCAGGGGACATCCAGCCAGAGACACAGCATGCTGTTTGGAACATGAAGCCTTGTTTCTTCTATAGAGTTGTGCTGGGCCCTGACTAAGTTGGGAACGAGAGGGCCAGTGGAAGGTGACGAGATTGCAAGCTGCACTGAGGACTGAGGAGGATGGTGTTCAAATGTGACAGGTCATTGGAACTCTAAGTCCTCCTTCCCTTCTCCAAGCCATCCCCTCACCCACGCATGCTGCCAGGCGTGCTGGGTGTGGGAGAAAACAAGTTTCAGGAGCAGCAGGGCTTTGCTAAGTGTTCTCAGACCAGGGTCTGAGGGACTTGCCTGCAGCCACTGGCTTTCTACCAGGCGGGGCAGTGAGCTTTGGGTGGGTGGGAGTAGTTTCCCAGGGACAAGGCACTGTCACTCATGCCTTGGAGTTTTAGGGACACAAAAATAGGAGATAACTAATCAAATCCTTGGCAGGGCGGTGGAGTTGCCATAGAAACTCACAGATAACTCTTCTGCTGCCACATCTTTACTGTGCAGCAGCCCTCCCACCCGGCTCTGAGACCTATACATAATCTGTGCTCACAGCCAGGGGGAAGCAAGCCCAGGCCAGCCTGGAGCGCGGCAGCTCAAACCTTTCCTCGCAAGTGCAGGCAGGTCCAAATGGCCTGTAGCCCACTCAGCTCCCAACCACAGTGCATCTCCTCATAGGGAGTCAGGGAGCGAGAAAGGGAGTGACCCTGAGGTATGAGAGGAGACAACACACAAGGGTGCTCTGCCCACACCTACTGGTGGCACGTAGAAGCCCTTGCTCAGCACCCCAGCCTGCCCTGGTTCAGCCCTGCACATATGACACAAGCAGTCCCTTTCTCCCTGCCCTGCTTCCAACCTGGCACATTACATGGTGTTCTCCAACCCCTTTGGATGATAGGCTCAGACAGCTCCCCCAAGCCTAGCTCCTCCACAGCCCAACACAAAAGCAGGTTCTAGCCTCCCCTCAGAAGGAAACAGCTAAGGACAGGCCCCTCCCCACCCTCAGGGAAAAGGCCTCAGGCAGGCCTGAGCTGGCTGCACTCAGATCCCAGGGTCCTCCCTGGACACATGGAAGGCCAGAAATGACCAGGGGACAAGCTTCATTGGCAGCTTCGGGAAACAAGAGTCAGTCAGAGCATCCGACACCTGGGGCCTGAGGCTGACCATACTCCTCAGCTCTCACCTGCCACCTTGACCACTGTTCCAGCCCCAGGTGCCCTAGCAGCCCTGGCTCCTGGGGGAACACTGAACCTATGTGGGTTCAGCAATCAACCAACCCACTTGGCACAGACAAAAAGGACAGGTGAGACCATGTCATTCAGGAGAGGCTGGTGGGCCAGGGAGCTGTTCCGCCCAGATGTGGGTAAGGGCTCTGGCTGTGTGCAGCTCATGTATAGCCACACTCAGGTGCCCGCTGAACACCACTGGTACAGACGACCAAGGAGCTGAGGCAGAGAAATCCCCAACTGCCAACCTGGCCTGAGCAATTTAGAGACTAAAAAGGGATGGAAATATAATTTCATGCTAAGGTCTGGATTTAATTCTCAACACTGTAAGAGGAAAAAAGCCGAGTGCTGAGGATTAGCTCAGTGGTGTTGAGTGCATACCTAGCATGGATTGAGGTCCTGCCTGAATCCCAAGCAAACAATAAAAAATTTAAAGAAGGAAAAAAAACACAAGATACTACCTACGGAGTATTCCACCTCTTCTTAACCAGGAAGGTCAGTTACCTAAAACAGACCACCAGCGAGAACAAGAGGTGCTGGGCAGGCCCCAGAACAGCCTTACAGGGTTGGGGAGTTGGCTCAGTGGCTTAAGGTCACTAGTGAGCACAAGGTCCTGAGTTAGATTCCCAGTACCTCCCCTCAAAAAACCCCCAAAGAATCAGAACAGGCTTCTAGGTGCAAAACTGGCCCCATGGGACTGAGGCACACACAGACATGCCACTTAGCCTGGCATAGCCAAAGGAGCAGGAAAATACACCCAAGGAAGGCTGCTCAAAGCCAGGTATGACTGTACAACCCTGTGACCACAGCACTTCGGAAGCCAGGACAGATCACCATTGAGTTTGAGGAGGGAGGGAGGAAAGCAAAACAAAACTGCCTGGGCTTTTTGGCAGAACCGGGGATTGAACTCAGGCCATTGCACTTGCCAGGGAAGCGCTTATTCCACTGAGCCATCTCCACAGCCCCCAAAACTGCCTAGTGTCAAGAGTATGGTTTAATTTTCTAAGGGCTCCAACTCTTTTCACATTTGGTACAGGCTTTCACTACACTGACTTGCAGTGATCCTCCTCAGCTTCCCCAGCACTGGAATTACAGGCATGCACCACCACACCCAGCGCTGGTGGCTGACACGGCATGAGGGCCACATGGCATGGGCAGGCAGACGCTCAGACTGCTATCTCCCCAGCCCCCTTTTTACTTTTTGAGACAGGGTCTCACTAAGCTGCCTCGGCTAGGCTCATACTTCCCATCCTCCTGCCTCAGCCTCCCAAGGAGCTGGGATTACAGGCATGCACCACCATGTGGCTCCAAAACCACTTAAATGCAGGAAACATGCAAGAAGTTAAGCTGGGGCACACACAACCTACCACAGGTACCAGGACCTGCAGGAAGCCAGGCCTTGCTCACTATCCCGCCAACCAGAACTGTTCTTAACTCATGTGTGGACACAGCAGACAAGGTTTAAATAGACTTTATTGTTGCAGGGCGGACCCCAATGAGCAGGGCTGATCTGTGGTCCCAGATGTCATGGTGAAGATACTGAGAGGTCATGATTGCAGAAGAGGTGACCAATGACATGATCCGGGGCAGCCGGCCTGGAATGCAGGAGACATGATCCGGATGGCTGGCAGGGTGGTCAGGTTACAGGGGAAAGGACAGCCCCCTTCACTCCCGCTTCTTGTAGCTCTCCAGGTGTGACAGGACCCAGCCCGCCGGCAGGAGGAAGCACAGGAAGCAGGAAGTAAGCCCAATGGCGACATCCTACACAGAGCACAAGGAAGGATTCCTCAGTGTAAGCATCCCTAGGCACTCCAAAGTCTGTGTACTTCGATGGGCTGTGGAAAGTCACGTTCAGGGAGCCACAGCGCAACATCCCTACATTAAAGGAAACCCACATGTATGAGCAGGTGTCCAGCAGTGTAAGCTCTGGGGTCTACCTTCAGCACAAAAACAATAAAACGTATACTCTAAAGAGGGTGCATCCACTGGACTTGGGACCACAGCCTTGTAATCCCAACTGAGGCAAGAGGACCATCTGGAGTTCAAGGCCAGCCTGAGCTACAGCGCAAGATCCTGCCATACATAAAACAATGGAGGTGACATCACTGAACCAAGGATCTCTCAGCCTCGATGTAGCAATCAGTTACAGGGATGGGGACAAGAGTCTGAAAGCTGGGGTACCATAGTGTAGGATCTAGGCAGAAATTACATGGTAAATATTTAAACCTCTTTTCGAGGGCTGGCCAAATAGCTCAGCGGATTAAAGCGCCTGCAAGTATATGCAGGGGCCGGGGGTTCTATCTCTGGGCCTGCCATGCTGGCCCTGCCCCTGGGGCGCACTGAGATGGTGACTGCAATTGAGACTGGACGTGGTGGTGCACACCTGTAATCCCAGCTCTTGGGAGGCTGTAAACAGGCGGATCACTATGAGTCCAATCTAGTAGTGAGACCCTGAACACCCTGTAGACTCTTCCATAAAATACAAAAAACAAAACAAATCAACAACAACAAAAAAAAAACACCAAACAAACCTGTTTTCAAGTTGGAATGTTGGGACTTAGAAACCCTGCCTAGGTCAGTAGCTTTAAAACCAGATCTCCCTTCATCTTAAAATCTCTCTTTTGTAGTAGGTGCTGGCACATCCCACAAATTTCAACAAACTCTGGAGGCTGAAGCAGGAAAGCAGGAAGTTCAAGGCCAGCCAGAGCAACTTAGCATGACATTATCAAAAATAAAAAATCACAGCCAGAGAGATAGCTCAGCAGTCTTAGTGCCCACCTGGCAAGCACAAGGATTTGGGTTCCATCCCTGACACTGCATGCTGTCCCAACCCCACCCACCTGTAATCCCAGCATTAGGGAGGCTGAAACAGGAAGATTGCTATGAGTCTGCGCTGCATAGCGAGAGCCTGTACCAAATATACATTAAAAAAAAAAATTGTAAAAGGGAGCTGGGCATGATGGCACACACCTGTAATCCCAGCTCCTGGGAGGCGGAGGGAGGAGGACCGCATTCAGGGCCATCCTGAGCTACTTAGGAGACCCTGTCTCCAAAACCAAACCAAATCACAAATTTTTCCTTAAAAAACACCAAAACCAACAAACAAGAACTGAAGGGTTGGAGATGCAGCTCAGTGCAAAGGTCCTGGGTTCAAGTCCCAGTATTGTTCAAAAAAATAATAAATTTTAAAAATAATAAAAACTGCACACAATAGCACATGCTTGTAATTCAGCAGTTTGGGAGGCTGAGCCAAAAGGGCTAGAAATTCAAATCCCACCCCAGGACCCTGCCAGAAAATACAAAAAAAGGGTTGGGGATGTAGCTTATATAAAGGCTCTCGGTTTAATCCCCAGTATGAGTAAAAATAATTATTCTGAAAAAGGACTAGAGCTATAACTCACCAGTGGAGCACTTGCCTACCTGCAAGAGGCCCTAGATTCAACACAAACATTACAAAAACAAAACAAAAAGACCCTTCTGTACCCGCTCCAGCACTAAAGTCAAACTCTGGAACAAGGGATGACTTTTCATAGCCAATACTATGCTTCTCCTGAGTACTTTACAATCATAGAGCAAGTTGAGGAAGTTAGCCTTGCCTTCCAATTCTCTCCTTGCCATTTAAATTTTTTTTTTTTTTTTAGGTACCGGGGATTGAACTCAGGACCTTGAGCTTGCCAGGGAAGCACCTATTCAACTGAGCTATCTCCCCACCCCTCTTTGCCACTTAAGTGTGCCCCTAAATCTCACTTCGGCTGGGTGTGCTGGCACATGCCTGTAATCCCAGCACTTGGGAGGCTGAGGCAGGAGGATCGCTACAAGCTCGAGACCAGCCTGGGCTACAAAGTGAGCTTAAGGCTAGCCTGAACTGCATATCAAGACCCTGTCTCAAAAAGACCAAAAAACAAAAAACTCACTTCACCTCACCGTGAAATGGAGATAACCACCTTCTCCTCAGGGTCACAGACAGGCCTGAATGCGACCTGCACAGCAGTCCCAGCAGGAACTTGGCAAAGCATGTGTTGATGGTCGTGGTTATCATTATTTTTCTGTTCTGCAGTGCTGGGGATCAAACCCAGGGTGTCATGTAAGCAAAGCGGGTGCTCTACACTGAGCTACACCGTAAGCTCCTTTTCTGCTTTGTTTCTGCACTGCTGAGGACTGAATCCAGGGCCTCCCATTTGTGCTAAGCAAAGACCCTACCACTAAATAACACCCCAACCTTTTTTCTTTTGGCAGTACTGGGGACTAATCCCTGGGGCCATCACACTGAGCTCCATCCTCAGCCCTGTTTAGTTTGAGACAAGACTCTTGCTAAGTTGTCCATGCTAGTCTCTCAAACTTGCAATCCTCCTGCCTCAGCCTCCTTCATAGCTGGGCAAACAGGCAGGTGCTGCGCCTGACTCTCCCCAGTCGCAGCGCTCTCTGACTCTGCTCCTAACCCAAAGCCCTGGAACCTGGATTCTGAAGATTCGCGTTCAGGATCAAGCTCTGCCACTGAGGCCTATCTACATAAGCTTCGAATAAATGAGAGTTGTCATTAAAAGCTAAACGCGCCTCCACTTGTGAGAATCACAAGGACCTGTCGGGTCTTCTTGCCCCCTTCCTACTAATCCTAAGCAGCGGTAAGCACCACTCTTGTCACCGACCGTCCTCAACCATTCCCTAGTGAAGGGTAAACCAAGGGCGGGAGACAAAAGGCTTCGCGCTCAATAAACCGCACGGCGACTAAGCGTGACACCCCAATCCTGGAGCTTCGGGAAGGTACGTAAGGCTCTCCCCCGGCCCGCGCCCTCCAGGCAGGCCCGGAGTAGCCCTGCTGCCCGGCCTCGCTGCGTCTCCGTCTCCGGAGGTGCAGGGCGCTCGGGGCCGTCCAACAGTCCTCACCATGGTCCCGAGCTGCTCCCGCGGCGGCTTGGAGTGCACCTGGGCACGCGGCACGGGGAGCCTCCGCGCCGGGCCTGTCAGACCCCTCAGCAGCAGCGGTGTCAAGAACGACATGACGGCACGGACCAGACCACCACGCACGGCCGGCCGCAGCGCAAGGTCAAGGCAAGATGGCTGTACCCGCAGGAAGTTCTAGAGCTCGGCAGGCTGGGAAACTTCGGCCCGGAAGTCTCTCGGAAACGACGCAAGGACGCCTCCGGCCCGCCCCTGGCTGGATTGGGCGCGTTCTTCAAGCCAGCCAATCGAGGCCACCCTACCTGGCCCCGGCCGAGAAAGGCGTTCTCTTGGTTATGCCCCGCCTTCAAAACGGCCAATGTTGGTGGATGACATCTATGTCCACCCATCATACAACCGAAAAGTCTAAGGTTGGTTGGTCATTCTTCTCTCCAATCTTATCCTTCACTATACAGTCATTTCTGACCTCTACTATTGCCCCAATGAACTCTTTTCACCCGTTATACGCTTTCCAACTCGTCTCCATGCCTAACGGGCAACTTCTTTTATCCTTCCCTTTCATGGTTTTTTTTGGGGGGGGGTGGGGCAGGTTGAGACAGTCCAGACTGGCCTTGAAACTAAGGGCGATCCTGCCTGAGCCTCTGGAGCGCTGGGATAACAGGCATTGTGGCCTCGAGCCCAGCTTTTTCCTCTTTATCCACTTCTCCCCTCCCTTTAAAGCATCGCTCTCTTCCTCCCATCTTGCTTTTCTAATTACACGTCTGACCTAGTCAGTCACTTTCAGTGGCTCCTACAGCTTTCTACTAGAGTTCCAGTTCCTGGATATCACTTACCAGCCGGAATTGGAGAGAACAGCTCTGGAGAGCGAGCTGGGTGACTTGCTTAAGGCCGTGCAGCCAGAGGCTGCCAAGAGCAAATCTGCACCAAAAACTCAGGGCTGGGGACCAACCACAAGACAAGCAGGCTGTGCTCTACCACTGAAGCCAAACACCCATACTTTCAACCACCACACAAGATGAGAGTTTCCAGAAGCTCAAAGTTTTTGGGTTTTCATTTTTGTTTTTTGAGGCAAGGTTTAGCTATATATGGTAGTTGTTTTTTTTTTTTAATTATTTATTTTTCTCTGTGTGGCCAGCTCAGCCCACCAGGGGGCGGGGCTGGCTGGCATGTGGTGCTGGGGGATTGAACCGCAGTCCCTGTGCTTTGCCAAGCTTGTTCCAAGTAGATGCTTTAGACCACTGAGCCATCTCACCAGCCCTATATATGGTAGTTTAGGCTGGCCCCAAATTCACACTAATCCTCTTGCCTCAGCCTCATAAATGCTGGATTACAGGTGTGCAACACCCGCCCCACCCCCACCCCCACCCCAATCAAGAAGCTCCAGCTTTGACACTGAGGTCAGAAACCGGCAAGAGGAGGGATGTGGTATGTTGGCGACAGACGGAAATAGGAACTCTGAAAGAGAAACTTCAGCTCCTTGGGGCTGGGTCACAGAAAGGTGGCAATGAGCCCAGTGTCCCTGAAGGCAAGCTCTGCCTCAGCTTCCTCTGGAGATGTTCCCAAGTCTCAAACTTACCTCGATCCCCCCTCATCCCTCTCCCACCTTCTTTGCTCCCATTTTTAATGTCTAGAAGCCTTTTTTTTTTTTTTTTTTTTTTTAAACAGGGTTTCATAGGAGCCAGGAAGATGGCTCAGTGGAATAAAGAGTTTGCCTGGCAAATGCAAGGGTCTGAGTTCAATCCCCGGTTCAGCCAAAAAATGAAGAAAAGGGTTTCACTATGCAGTTTAAATTGGCCTTAAGCTCACTTTGTAGCTCAGGAGGGCGTCAAACTTGGAGCAATCTTGCCTCAGCCTCTTCCAAGCGTGAGCCACCATGCCCGGCACGTCTAGCAGTTTTAACCACCCCACCCTCAACTACCAGGTCCCATCCTTGCCACGAGCCCTGGCAAACAGCCCAGAACAGATGCACCATCCTTATGGGCATGGTACTGGAAGGTGTCAGCTGCCTGCCACAAGGGGTGAGGATCTGCTGTTGCCCTCCTGCTGGGCTTGTCTGGTGCCTTCAAATAAAGGAGTAACTCCCAAGTGAGAACAAGTGAGGCAACTGGTCTAGACAGAGTTACTTGGTCCAGTACCCAAAGGGCCCAGGAGGGGATCATAGAGATCTAAATCTTAAATTTCTTTTCTTTTTGCGGTACTGGGGATTGAACTCAGGACCCTGTGCTTGCCAGACAGGTGCTTATTCTATAAGCTATCTCCCCAGCCAAGAGGTCTAAATCTAACACTGACTGGCTGGATAACAGTGAGAATGTCCCTTTCCCTATCTGCAAAATAAGCATTAATGAAAAGTCCAGTAGGAGAAACTGCTGAAGCACTGGTTTCAATGGAAAAAAGGTAATCTGGGAACTGAACATGATGGGACAGTCCTATAATTGCAGCATACTGGCTGAAGCAAGAGGATCCCAAGTTCAAGACTAACCTGAACAACTTGATGAGACCCTGTCTTAATTAAAAAATAAAAACAAAGGGCTAGGGAGATAGTTTGTCGGTCTAAGTGCCTGCCTGCAAGGACCAGGGTTTGATCCTTGGTACTGCATGCTACGCCAGTACCAGAACCGGGGGCACACTGTGCTGGCCACCAAAACCAGGCATGGTGGCACGTGCCTGTAATCCCAGCGCTGGGGAGGCTGATACAGGAAGACCACCAGGAGTCCGAGCTGCGTAGTGAGACCCTGTAGCAAATAAATAAATACCCACTCAAAAACAGGGAGGGGGCCTGGAGATGGTGCTCAGTGTGAAGGCCTTGCATTCAGTCCCAGTACCACACACACATGCTGGTTTTGGAAAACAAGTTGGCACAGAAAGATCCTGGAGGGGTATTTGCTCTTCCCACAGCACAGCAGCTGTCACCAGGCACCCAGGGATAACCAGGAGGCAGCTGTCAGGGGTGGAGCAACATGGGAGGTGCTGGTATGAGGCGGGGGTGGGGGGAGTGGGGTGCTGCCCCTGAAGGCCCAGCTGTCAGACTAGTATCAACAGGAGGAAATGGCATGGTCACCTGGGACTTGAGCTGGGGCCTGGGGAACACCCAGAGAGCCTGCAGCAGCTAACCCCTTCCAGCCCACAAACAGCTGCCAGCCACACTGAGATCATATCACATGTAGCAGTGGCTCTCACCTGGTGGAAGGCTGGCTTCACAGGCAACCAAGCAACTCCAAGGGCTACTCCCAGCCACACCCCGACCTCGATGTGATCACACATCCACGCCTTTCTGCCTTCTGTACCCACAACCCAATCCCTGATGAGCTCTACCTCTAGTCCCCTGATCTCTTCAGATCCCCCAATAAAGGCAGACCTGGTCTTAACCACCTGATTCAGAAGGCCCTAATGCTCTGCAGCTGTGTAGCCCACCCAGCCCTGGACCCTGTGCTCCTCTACTGACTCCATCTTTCTCTACCCATTGAGCCAACATCTAGGCCATGGGAGCATCACAGAAACTATTCCAACTCCCAGTCTGAAGGCCCCGTGTAACCCACGAGGAACTGCTCTTAAGGCCAGGATAGCATCACTCACAAGCCCCACTGTAAAGGTTGTGCAACCCCACATTCAGTATGTGCACCCAGCAGGTGGAGATGTTACTAAGTATGCTACTGTGTTACAACGGTGAAGGGTTCAAGACTGCAGGGGTGCAGGAGCTGGAGCTCTTAATGCAGCCCTGGAATGCAGGGGTGGAGTCAATCCCTCAAGGCCACTGCAGGGAGCTCCAAGACTATAACCACTCGGTTCCTGGCTGTCACTTGCTCATCTGTTCTTGCAGCAAAAGCCCCACCTCTCAGGAGGTTCAGGCCCTGGTCCGTTCCTCAGGGCTTTTTCCCTTCACCTCCTATGAGTTGGCCTGCACTAAGAGCTGTCCTCAGCTGTGACCCTGCTGGTCTGCAGCAAATCTTCCCTCATCTTAAAGTGACGAAGACCCCACAGGAGAGGGCCCTGAAGTCAACACAGGATTACAGATCCCTCTTATGAATGTTGATGGAATTCACAACCAATGACATCCTGTTGAGGGAAACACCATGTGTCTGCACTGCCAGATCCAAAGCCTGGCTCCTAGTACTGTGGAGGTGGGGGTGCTGTTTCTACAAGGGAGGCAATTGGAGGGAAAGGGCTTTTGGCCAGGCATCTGTTCTGTCTTCCCATCTCCTGAACTACAGGTTATTTAAAATCAGCCCCTGCCTACCCTGGTTCAAATCTTGGCTCTGACACTCACTACTGGGACTATAGACAAGTTTCCTTCCCCTCTTACCCTTATACTATGAGCAGCACCAGTATCTATGAGACAGGCAAGTTAGCATAAGCCCAATGAGCACGTGAGTCACTGCTGTTCAGAGACTAAGTCTCACTATGCACTCAGACTCATAATCCTCCTGTTTCAACCTCTCAAGAAAGGCTGGGACAACAAGTGTTTGCCATCACACCCAAGCAAGTAAAAGGAAAGAAACTCATCTACTCCATCCCTACAGATGAGCACTGGAATTTATATTTAGCTGCAGATGCCAAATATCAAAATGCCTGGAATGGGACCTGCTTTAAGATGCAAAACAGAGGGTCTGGGAGATAGCTCAGTGGTCTAAGCGCCAGACTGGCAGATCCAAGGACCTGGGTTCAATCCCCAGTAATAACATGCAGTGCTGGCCCCAGAGCCCTGGGCACTCTGTGCCAGCCACTGAAACCAGGCATCGTGGTGCACCCCTGTAATCCCAGTGCTGGAGAGGCTGAGACAGGAGGACCAGTACACGTCCAACCTGTGTAGTGAGACCCTGTACCAAATAAATAAAAGATTTTTTAGAAAGCTTTTTTTTAAAAAAATGCAAAAGAGAGGCCCTTCAGGAGAGCATTTTTTACCTCTACTTATAATTTGTGGGAAATCCCAAACCGATGTACTTGGTCTTCATCCCCATCTCTGACTGCTTGACTGACACCAAGACTTCCTTTGCAGGAAGGGGTGCAGGCCTGCACAGCCACTGCCGCAGTCTTTAGGTGTAAGGCTTGCCACCCATAGAACCAGCATCTGAACAAAGTGTCTTTTATTTATGATGTATAAATACAACCAATGCAAAAAGACATTACCTCTTCCCTTTGATGCCAATGACAAATGCTTAAAGAAAAAATATATGTGTATCAAGAAATTTATCTTTCAAATTTTCTTTTAAAAAGGAGGTGGTGGTTAGAAAAAAAAAAATCATACACACTTTCTTTTAAAAGTTTTTTGAGACAGGGTCTCGAGATGTAATCCAGACTGGCCTCAAACTTGCAGCAATCTTCCTACCTCAGCTTCCCAAGGAGTGAGATTATAGGCATGTGCCACCATGCCCTGCCAGTCATACATACTTGACACCAACAAGACATGAAATAGGAGGAACACAACTAGGAAAAAAAAAAATCTTTTTTTTTTTTTTTTTTTTTTTTGTGGAACCAGGGATTGAACTCAGGCCCCTGCACTAGCCAGGCAAGCGCTTGTTCTATTGAGCTATCTCCCCGGCACCCCCCAAAAAAAAAATCTTAAAAGAGAAAATTTTTTAACATGCTCCAAACAAAATAACAAAAAAGCCTCGTACAAAATGTTTGTTCCTCAAAACCAAGACCCAGGGGTGGAGGAACACTGATGTTTGACCCATGTGTAGGCTCAACAGCCACAAGAGTGGTCAGGAGGTCTCAATAAGCACTCCTCCCACCAAGCTATGACCTCCTGAGGAGCCCTTCAGGGAGGGTGGCCTGCAAAGGTAGAGGGTGAAAGGCAAGTATCCTGTCTACCAGTGGACTTGATGCCAAGTGTCAACAACTGGAAGGAGAAAACACACTGAACTCCCCTTACATGGAATTTAACACAGGGGGTTCCTTTTGGTTCCCTTGAATAGGAGGTATCAGAAATCTATGATTTAAGACAATAAATATTTATCATTTTTGTATTCTTTGAGATAGGGATTAGAGGAAACACTTCTAAACATGCGTCTGCTGTTTCATGATTCTTGGAAGGAGTCTACCAATCAACCTCCCAGTAACTCCAACTCTCATCAAAGGTAAAAACCCTGGAGCCAGCAGATGAGGCAAAGGTAAACTTATTCCAGTGTAAAGCTGTATGGCCCTAAAAAGTGCCCAGTCTCACTGCTGATAGACTCAGGAGCAAAGCAGAGTACTCAGTGGAGGCCTGACTGGGTAAGGCTCCTACAAAGGCAAAAAGCTAGGTGAGAAGCACAGACTACTCTTGTGAGCTTGCCTGAGTTGGGCCAGAGTGAGGGTAAGCAGGCTCAGAAGTCGGGGCACTGACACAAAGCCATGAAAGCAACAGTACAAAGGCTAGAATCCTCACAACACTCCCTGAAGTAGAGCTTGGGGAGTATTCAAGGGAAGTGTCAAGTGCTTTCACGTAGATAAGGATTTAGTTTTTCTTTTTTGGAAAAGAAACAAGGCCTAGAAACCAGGATGAGAATAAGTTCTGAGCCCACATCCTCTTCTCTCTCTGAGCAGAGGAAGCCCATCTCCTCCCTCTGTTCCAGCTTGCTGCCACAGGGTGACACAAGAGAGAAAAGCAGCTGTGTGGGCCACTGACGGGCACTCTTGCTGCAGCCTGAGCTGTGCCCCAAATGGGTCAGGACTGTGGCACCGGTGCCTCATTGAGGCTGTAAGGGGCAAGGCTGGGGAGTGCAGGCAGAGGGGCCTGCTGCTGGCTGGGGACTCTCTGAGGAGGCAGGGTGGTAGGAGGTTTGCCCCACCTTCAGAGAACTGTCAGCACCAAGAGGTGGCAGGAAACGGCTTAACTGTACCAGGAATAATGGGTCCTTCAGGGGAAGAAGAGGGGTTCCCTGATGTTACTCCCCCGTTGAGATTAAAAACAGAGGTATCTGGGATGGAAGCAAGAGGCTGAGGAGAAAGAGTGGTAGGGGGCAATGAAAAGGAACAGAAGGACCTGTGGCTTTCTTCTTGAATGAAACATTCAAGTCACTTCCATAAGACCCAGAGGTTAGGCTGAGAGTCTGAATGCCCAGAAAAGCGGACATCCCCACAGCGGGCCAACTGACACAACTGTTCTTGGTCCTCTTAGACCTTCTCTCTGACAGCAATAGAGAGAGGCAGTGTTCCCCTCAGAGTTGGCTAGTCCCCTGAGACAACTCCACTCTACAGATCCATAAAAACAGCTAGAACTTCTCTGTACCCTGGCATGAAAGGCCTGCATGGTCTCTATGACAATGCTCCATCCACAAGTTTCTCAAAAGCCTTGGTCTGTGCCCAGATCTTAAGAGGCCAATCCTCTTTGGGGACCAACAGATCCCAGATCAGGATTCCAGGACTTTGACAAAGACGGATATATGCATTCCATTTGTCCAAGGTGGGGATGAGGGAAGCCTGTTGAGAATCCAGCTGCAGAGTTTGAGGACCCTTCACTTGAGGGCTCAAGAGCAAAACAGCTGCCATGTGGATGAGCTTCACAGTGTGGCCTCCACCAACTCTTCCTGTAGCACCCTCTTCCCTGCACTCATTCCTGGTACTCAGGTCTTGCAGGAGAGAGAAGGAGTAGTGTAGACCATTTCTCTCCAGATTCTGAGCTCGCTCTAGAACATGCAAGGTTGAGATCACAGCTCTTGAGACCACCTGGAAGGTAGTGAGACCAGAGTAGAGGACAGGCCTTCAGGAGACAGGACAGGAGTGTTCTGACTTGCAAATGGTTCTGAGAGTTCAGTGGCAGCAGCCACCACAGTGCCCGCCTGCATGGGAGTGCTGGCTGTCCCCAAACTTGGTCTTCCGGCTCAGGATCTCATAGGAACAGTCCTCCCCACAACAACCAGACATGCTGGGGGAAGAGTCATCAATTTCAAACCTGCAATGCAGATAGGAAAAAAGGGTTGATCACAGCCAGCTGAATGCTTTCCTTCTGTCCTGAAAATTTTTCCAGTAGCTACACTGATGGGATGAGGGTAAGGGACCAAGTTAAGAGGATGCTGCCATACCATTTCACCAATCTTAAATCCCCATAAACCACTGGACTGTGAGCTCAAGTATCAAGATGAGAGACAGAACCAAGAAAAAGGCACATGGACAGCACCTACTACCACCTAGAAAAACCACTCCAGAGATCAGTTTCTTACTGTAGCGCTTCTCGGAAGAACTGGTAGGCGCCATGATTGTGTTTAAATACTGTTAACATCACCTTCTTCATCTGTGTACTAAAAGAAAGCAGAGTGAGCACCATCTAGAGAAATACTGAGGCTATGTGTTCTCTCCCTCCTGTCTCTGCCACTACTTCTCATTCCCAAGTCCCTCCTACAACCTGCAGAGGCCTTTAGCACCACAATGCTCAGTGCATTCCACCATCACAGGTAGTGTGAGACTGGTCTGACTGCATGAGCTTCAAGGATCTTCTCCACCTCCTCTCTGTAGCCCCTTCACTTAGCCACAGTGAATTTCTCTCATTGTGACTAAGTGAACAAGACCTGAAGTAGCCCTTACCTGTTGGCCATGAGTTGCAGGATCTGTATGAGGAACTTCCCCAGGCCTTTCCGCCTCACTTTGCTTTCCAACTGCACTTCGTAGCTGGGTAAAGAAAGCAGTGAGATGAGAGTACAAGGTGGGGCATGGAGAGGCTGCAAGCCAGCAGATGATATGGCTGTCCCTGGTAGCCCACAGACCCAGACAAGCACAGTAGGCTGTCACCTATTCTCCCTCCCCTTTCAGCTCACCCCAAGCCAAGGCTCCTACCAGTAGAGGACTTCATCCCCGCACTCCACGTCAAACCGGAAGTGAGAAAAGGCAACAGGGACAGAACTATTTTCCCAAGCGATAAGGTACCAAGCTCGGTCATCTGTCATTTCCTCCCGTTTCTCTCGGTCCTTCCAGCCCCACTCACTTTGCTCATACCTAGGGAGTTTGGGGGCAGTCAGAACAGGTAAACCTCAAAGGACTGGAAAGCCAGCTGATGAACCAGACTTCCCTGTGCTCTGCTCCCCTTTGGTTAAGCCATGCTTACATGCTTTGCATATTCGTTTTGGTCAGGTCAAACGCCCAATCCACAGTGGCTGGTTCCAGTCCAGACACTCGTTTACATTCAATGGAGACATTCAACCTAAGAAGAGGACAGGGAGGCATAAGAAGTGGGTGGCTCCCTTCAGGGTGCCACCATTCCTCCCTGAAGTCTAAGAGGCACACCTGGTCCATTATTACTTCTTGGGAAAAATACTGTTAAATACTGTTAACATCACCTTCTTCAGCCTTCTCAGATAAGACTAGAGAAGGTGACTGTACAGAAACAGATCCTTTTTGGGTGGGATTAACAAGTGTCAACTACTACTTATCTGTTCTTTTTCTCTGTTTGTATTTTATTATAAAAATACTTTTGCCTTTTCTTAGTTCCTGCTCATAGGTATTTTTTTTTTTCTCTTAATTTTAGTACAGGGTCTACAAGGTGTCACTACATAAATCAGACTCAACTCGTGGTGTTCTCCTGTTTTCAGCCTCCCAAGTGCTGGGATTACAGGCGTGTGTCACCACGCCCAGTCTCAATCGGCTCACTGTCTCAGCTCATCCCGGGGAGCAGGGCTGGCACAACACACCGGGAACCGAACCCCAGTCGCTATGTTCTGCCTAAGCAGATGCTTTAGTCTGCTGAGCTATCTGGCTGTCTCTTTTCTTTAGTCAGAGTCTCGCTGTATAATTTAGGCTGGCCTTGAACTCACTATAGTTCAGGCTGGCCTCGAACTTGCAGCAATCCTCCTGCCTCAACCTCTCAAGTGTTAAGATTACAGGCATGTGCCACCATCTCTGGCATCTTAAGCATTTTCTGTCATTTTGATTTCTGAATTTATAGTCCAGAGTGCTAACCACTGCACCATGGAATATCACTGCTGCTTCAATCTCTATAGTATTTGTGGGCTCCCACAGGACTTCTTCTTTCTTATCTATCAATTATACGTTCAAAACCAGCTGGGTGACTGACCTTACGATCTTCAAGATTATAACTCAGATGGGAGTGTAGGTCACTGGTAGAGTATTTGCCCTGCATGTACAAGGTATTGGGTTAAATCCCAACAGTACTAGCAAAAGAAATCTTAAAATCCACCAGGCATGGTGGCACACACCTATAATCCTAACACTTGGGAGGCTGAGCCAGGAAGGTCGCCACGAATTCAAGGCCAGCCTGAACTATATTGCAAGACCCCATCTCAAAAAAAAAAAAAAAAAAAACAAGAAAGAAAGAAAATATAACACACACACACACACACACACACACACACACACACACACAAAACACTCAAAGATCAACCTCCCCAGAAATTCTACCATTCTCTTCTCTCAGGATTCAACAGGTACTCTAAGCTGATTAAACAAGGTAGTATAGGGCCTAACCCCAACTCTATTTTCCTAAACAAATGTCAGTCTTTGGGTGTCTGCTTCCAAAGGAAATTTAAGTGACATCATACAGTTAAACTCATAGGCCAATTTGTGAAATTATTCTCTAGGTAGCACCACATTCTGCAAAGAATGATGTCAGCAACGCTGAGCCCTTGAGGAGCTCCTGTATTAGCATCTTTCAGTGGCCTTTGATGTCACCCTCAGAGGATGTTTCCAGTGGGATCTGCTCTCACCTTTGCTGACTGGCACACCATGCAAGATCAAATGCTCATCCTTGTAAATGGAAAATTTCCTGCCTTGGAAGAACCTTTATTTCCAGGTGTGGTGACACATGCCTGTAATCCCAGCACTCAGGAGGCTGATGCAGGAGGATTGCTGCAAATTCAAGACCAGCCTGGGCTACAAAGTAAGCTCAAGGCCAGCTTGAACTGTACAGCAAGACCCTGTCTCACAAAAACTAAACCACAAAAAAAAGAAAGAAAGAAAGAAAGAAAGAAAGAAAGAAAGAAAGAAAAGGAAAAGGACCTTTCTTTACAAGCACGTAAGTAGAAATACAGTACTGGGGGCTGGGGAGATGGCTCAGTGGAATAAGTGCCTCTCTGGCGAGTGCAAGGGCCTAAATTCAATCCCTGGTTCCACCAAAAAAAAAAAAAAAAAAAAGGCATAGAAGGAGTCTATTTGACTGGTAAAGGCTGCTTCTGAGTGTTCCCATGTTTCTGGTTGTCAGTAGGAATGCAGCATGTGGGAATACTAAGAGAAACAGGAAGTGATCTCTAAACTATGTGAAAGGACTTTCTAGAAGTTCAATGACAACTTCTACTATAGGAATTGTAACATGTATGATCAAAGATAGACATAAGTGAATGTGATATTACTAAATTTACTTGGACAGAGAGCACAATGGCCAAGCAATGGCCGTGACTCATCCACATGGCTGCACTGACAAAGGTTCTACAATCTGAGGTACAGAATCTCAGGATAAATCCTGAGGGCATTTCACTGACCTTCTCAGGTCAAAAAGCTACAACTCTTGTTGCACAGGTCCTGCTTTACCTTGGTCTTAACCATCCAGTAGAAAAGTATGAAGACGAAATATAGGAAGTAAAGCCATGCTGTTATGTTGAGCTGTGGGGGACTCAGGTCAATAATTTCTGACATTGCCAGTTAAACAGAAGACCCAATGCTATTATGGGCTACTGGACTCTTTTAGAATATTTTGCTGAGTTTACACACCTATAATATTCAATAACGGAACTTAGAAAAAATAGGGTATACAGATGAATGTCCATTTTGTATCTGTATATTCAAAGTGGTTAGGATAGATATATAGTTGCATTCTCTTAATGAATAGAATGATTTGTTCTAATGGGGTTTGTAAATAGGATCTTAAGTCCACATCTTGTACAGCAATTAACCACTAAGAAGAATATATGCAGTGTGTTATTTGTTGAAACTGTACTTCCGATTTGATTTGAAACTGTCTCATTGCTATCTGTTTATCAATAAAAGTTTCAAATATAAAAAAAAATAAAGTGAGGGACTGCCTTAGGACACACAGACATCTGTGTTCAGAGGATAGGTGTGACTCAAGTCACACTGCTGTCAGCAATTGGTTCTTATTCCTCAAATGCTCACTTTCTGGCCACAAGAACTTCAGGCTGTATTAACCCAGAAATTGTTTTCCTGATGAAGCTATTTGTGTGATAACATGCTCATGTGACTTTGAATATATTTACTGAACTATTAAAAATAAATAAATAAAATAAACATAAATAAATAAATAAATTTACTTGGGTATGAAAAGCAAATAGAGCACCATGGGTTTTATATGTTACATATTTGTATTTTTCTCTTACCAAACTTTATAACAGCTACTGCTTTCTGTGCTACATATATTCTCTTTCTTCCTTAAAACTAAAACTCTGTATTGAGCATGGTGGTACACACCTGTAACTCCAGTATTTGGTGAGGCTAAAACAGAAGGACCCCAAGACTCTTGTCTCAAAATAAAAATTAATTTATAGGGGGCCTGCCCTTAGCTCAGTTGTTTAAGCGCCTGCTCATGCAAACGCAGTCAGGAGCAGGATACCACAGTTCAATCCCCAGTTCCACCTGCCTTACCAGACCTGACACTCAGGCAGCCTGAGCCTCCAAAAATAAAAAATAATAATAATAATAATAATAATAATAATTTATAAAAAGGCCTGAATAACAAGGTCTGAGTGGCACATGCCTGTAATCCCAGAAATTGAGAGGCTGAGGCAGGAAGATTGTCATGAATTCAAGACTAGTCTGAACTAGGTATTGAGATCCTGCCTGAAAAAACTTAAAAAGGGGCCAGGGATATAGCTTAGCAGTGCAGCATCTGCCTGGCAAGCTTGAGGCCCTGAGTTTGATTCTTGGTCCTGCCCTCTCCCACCCCCCAAAAAAGGTCTGGTCTGGGATGTGGCTTATGTAAAAAAAAGACCTGATTTTAATCCCCAGCAGAACCAAAACAAAAACAAAAAACCCAGGGCTGGCCAAATAGCTCAGTGGATTAAAGTGCCTGCTTAGGCAGATGCAGGGGCCAGGAGTTCGGTCCCTGGGCCTGCCATGCTGGCCCCGCACCCATGGTACGCTGAGAGAGCAATTAAGACTGGACCTGGGTGTGGTGGTGCAGGCCTGTAATCCCAGCACTTGGGAGGCTATAAATAGGAGGATCACTGTAAGTCCAATCTACACAGTGAGACCCTGTAGACCCAGTCCTATATACCAAAACAAAAACAAAAACAAAAACCCTTAATTACAAATCTGAGGGCCGGGGAGATGGCTCAGTGGAATAAGCACTTCCCTGGCAAGTGCAAGGGCATGAGTTCAATCACCGGTTCTGAAAAAAAAAATCTACCTCAACCACCCCACCCCACTCCCAGCACTGAGAGTCAAACTCAAGACTGGGGCCGGGGAGATGGCTCAGTAGAATAAGTGCTTGCCTGGTAAGCGTAAGGGCCTGAGTTCAATCCCTGGTTCCGCAAAAAAAAAAAAAAAAAAAAAAGAAAGAAAGAAAATAAGAAAAAGAAAAATCTCTGTCTC